ACCCCCAGCCACCCTCTTCCGTAGTGTCCCATTGCACATCGCTAAAACCATCCATCATATCGTAACATTTCCTCTATTTGTTTTTTTAAGGAAAAAAATACTCTTTGGTTCGAAAATGAAGGCGATCATTTACTGAATCCTTCATTCCACCCTGGATAAAGCTTAAAATAAAGAAGATAAATTCCCGCGATCGAACCCTCGAAAAGACATACCATAAACTTCAGGAAAATACGTACCTTGGAAATGTTCGTTCCATGGTAGAGCAAATCATGAGTGGCTTGCAAATTAAAACTTTCTTCTACTTTGGTAAATGGGCACACATATAAATGCACACAGCACACAGCCAGGAGAAGAAAGAAATAAAAATCTGCCGCCATCTTGAACAATAACCTTCCGTGGTGAAAATCAATAGCACTGGGAACGAGATTTATGTACTTGTTCCCAGGACCTCTCGTTGGTATGCACGAAATTTGACCTTGCGCGACGCCGCGCGCGGACTTTTTTTGTCAACTGGTTGCCTGTGTAAGTCTGTGTTGTATCAATGGAATATTTGGAGAGTTTCTCAGGTATAAAAGCATGCTTAGTTTTTTTTAAGTTTTAGAGATGAAATATCATTACTTTTTCAAAGAGGGTGAAGTGTATTTTAACCCCACCTAAGCCCTTGCATCTGGTATAGTACGAGATCGATCCCAGAAGAGAAATCTATTTTAAAAGCGCATATAAATTTGCACCAGTGTAGCTACAGAAAATAACAACAATATTTACAAAACAATATCAGTTATTTATTGTTCAGTAATCAAATGAAGTAATACAAAAAATTGTGTAGCAAAATAAGTTCTCAGATTGAAAACACAAGTGCGAAAAGAAAAAGACTGAAGAGTGATTCTTCATGTTAGGGATTTCTTGATCCAGATTTAAGTTGAAACTCCTCTGTGAAAGTTGCATAAAACATATAGTAGGAATTTACATCAAGAACCATTTCACCAAAAACTCCTGAAAAGTAACGGAAAAGTTCATGACTGAGTTAAACAAGTGATGTTGACTTGAACCTTCTGGAAAATAGTCTAACTAGCCCTGATTTGGAATGATCTCGGGTCACTGGATCCGAGATCTCGATCGTTATCCGAGGAAACCTGGAAACTGAACCAATAGAATTCATATATCCTTAGTAAGCCTGTAACTTCTTACCTGTTAGCGATATCCTGTCATCGTAATTTGTACTTTTAGTTTTCATCATCGGAATAAAAGCTTGACTGTGAAACTGTCTTACGTCCCTTTGGCCGATATCCTCCAGCAGACAGAGGAGGAGGGGGAGGGGGTGGTGGGGGAGGAGGTGCGGCTGCCGGGGGTGGTGCAGCTGCAGAGGGTGGTGCGAACACCCCTCCGGGAGGGGGTGGGGGAAGGGGTGCATCTGGAATGGAAGGAAACGGACCAAGATAGTCATCTGTTGGAACATCCTGGTATTGAGTATCCCTGTAATAATTGCCATGTGGATCCTGGGCGGGATAACTTGAAAACTGTTGTTGTTCATAGTATGATTCATCGTCCTGGCTATCTAAAAGTCTCTTTTCGCGCCTTTTCCTTATACATCTCCTGAATGATAGAATATGCAAGTCACCAGAAACTTTTGAATCAAAAACTGCATATGTTTTTAAAACATATTGTAGGTAACGACAGAGCTGAATAATCNNAACGAGCACCAGCGAATCCTCCACAAGAAGAATGACGTGGCCAACAAAAGCTGCTGAAGAACCAGTTATGACTACAGAATCAGATGTAGTTGGTCTTCCAGTGAATGCAGAACTGAGCAACCCCATCAAACCAGGTAAAAGACGTGGTCTTCTAGGCTCACTTCAGACCGTTGCCTTAGAACAGTCACCTCCCAAAAATTGAAACTGGTCGAAAGGGTCACTTTCCGTTAAGTTCAAATGGTTCTTAGTTTTTCCTTAGTGAGCTCGACGCAACTAGAGGTGTATCTGCTTTCTCTTTATAGGCGGATTCATGCTGACGTCATTGTTTACATTTTTGCTCATTTGCATACGGCTTTGCGTAAAGAAGGAAGCATGTTAGATACAAATTGACTTCAGGCAGCTAAAGAGCTAGAAAACCTTAAGACATGGTGAAAGTTTTAGCTCTTTGGGTGTAATATTCAAGGAGAAATAGTCCATCAAAAACTGCAAAATTTCTGGGTGGCAAAAGCGCTAATGAGCTCATACATTCTATGTAAAATTTGGAGTTTTTAAATCCGTGTTGCACAAAAAGTGTTCAATGCATCAGGCTCATATTCATTGGTCGAGTTAATCGTACTTCGATCTTTCGATATTCAGAACTGATTTATTTTTAGCTCCATCAGAAACTGAATTGCTTATGCTAATGAGGCAAATATTGTAAACAAGGATTCCCCTATACAAACACTTCGAAAGGCTGTCTCGATCGAGGTGAAGAGTAGTCCCAGGTACAGAATAGGGTTTGTTTAAATACGCATGTACAATCGCCACGCTTCAAGGCTGCGATTTTCTTACCTACAACAGCAGCACGTGATAACCAGCAAAACCAGCACAAAACCAACTCCTCCAAGAATAACAAATTTCAAATGTTTCATGATCAGATGGAGTACTTTGTTGTAGATTGACTCGGCTTTCTTCTCAAAAAGCCCGATCACACCTTCAGGATCTGACTCTTTTGTTACAGGGGTTGGTCTCGTTGCCCTAGTCGTTGTCGACGTTGTTGTTTTCACTGATTCTGGAACACAAGAGAAAGTCAAAACTGGCCTTAATTTCTGAAGATTGGGGTCAATTTTTTTTTTGTCTCAGGCTCAAACGACGGGGTTAAAAATGTTCCACACTCCTGATCTTGTCTCTACCCTGTTTATTAACTTTTTTTCCTCCTCAATCATAGTCAAGAAAAGAAGCAAAGTAATGAACGCAAACGCCACGGGGTGACGAGAGGAGGGAGAGGGGGCGGCGGGGAGGGAATTTGGTTAAAAACGGAAAAGGAAAAAGGATGAAGGGAGTCAGTAAAAAGTAAAGCAAGAAAAGGAGGACGAAAGAAAGAAAGAAATAAAGAGTGAATAAAAGGAAAAAAGTAAAAACACATGTGTTAACTTCCCAGGTTTCTAAAATGTGAGTGCGGTCTTGTCTTTCCGGTCAAATTGTGTCCCAGTTGCGACATCGCAAAGAAATTGGCCAACCCTACTTTTCAAAAAGGATAATAAAAATACCTTTCTTTTTGCACTCCAGACCATCTCCAAAAAGTTTCTTCTTACACTTGCACCCAAAGAAACTCTTCTTGGAGACATATAGGCAATCGGCATCAGGATGGCAAGGTGGAAATTGAAGGTTTTCGCAGGGATGTTTTAGATCTGTGATTAAAAAAGAAAAAGATGATTTGACTCAGGTAACTGTTGAGCTTGTACCGAGTCTCTACCCAGACCTTTCACGGCCAAGTTCTACAATTACAGTTACACGATAGGATCTGGGTACGAAAATACCTAGTTTCTTATGAGTTTTGCAGCCTGAAGTAGCCCACAAGTTCGTTTTCAGCCTAAATTGAACTAAAATGTTTGGTTTTTATGTGAAAAATTTCATCCCAGCCCAGTGATCTCCTATAACATTTAAATTCCATGAATAGCTTTTAGTGTAAAAACATACCAATACATTTGGGACTTGCTATCGTGCGCAGTCCACTGTCACCCGAACACCAACAAACCTTGTTGGGTCCGCAGGTTGAAGAAGATGGGCAATCCGTATTTTCTGAGCACTGAATGGCATACTTTGCTGTTGTATAAAATAAATAAACAAGAAGACAAGCAAGCAATTGGCCTAAGAAATGATGGAATATATACTATCAAAAGCGGGCAATTGAAATTTCTCCTAACCTTTCGGTTTAAAATTTATATGTGGGCGAGTGTTAAGCGTGACTGTCTGCATAATTGGCCGACTGACTGACTGACTGACTGACAGTTTTTGTTTTGCATCAGATTGGTGGAAAATGGCACGACTTTTTTAAGACCAATCACAGATCAAAGATAAGCAAACTAAAGCAATCCCATAATACTTTCGACACAACTAAAAAGTCCACTATTCTCAGTGCTCTATGATTGATCGGCGTCCTTTTCACAACCAAAAAAACACCAAATTTAGACCATCGCTACTCGATCACGTTTGTCCCGCTCCAGGTAGTTTATTTTTGGACTTTAATGTAAGATCTCCTTGGATTCTTTTTATCACTAACCTTGATTTTGATTCATGAGCCATCGTGAATATTGGATTCTCAATCGAGAGGGCTTACAGTTGCTGAACTGTTTCGTTTATAGCCTAAAATTAAAACCAACCTTTTTTTTCGCTCTAATCTCCCGCAAGGCCTGAGAAAATCTCTCTTGTCGAGGGTAATCTCGGGGTACTGGAGAAAGAGGACAGTTTACACTTTTGATTGAATGTACTTACCGAAAGGATGTCCTGCTTTGGCTAGTTCTTTAGGTCCGGTTTTGTACAAAACTGCATGTTGTTGAGGCTTTTGCTCAGCATGATCAGATATCTTCAGGTTAAATGACTCATGATGAAAATTGTCGTCTATGAAAAAGCATTGAAACCAATGAAGCAATTTCAATTTCAGCCCAAGGAGGAAAAATTTGGACTTAAGTCAGTGTCTGCTAAATTCAGGATATCTTTCAATATGAGGTTCGCTTCATAAAGGTTTCATCGCAGTTACAAGCCGGTTTCATGAAATAGATTTGTATTGGTATTTTTAATGCGAAAGCGATGAAAACTTTCATCGCAGCTCAATTAGTATATACTTATCGCTGCACTGGCTGTATCAGTTTTCGCATTTTTTTCTTTTTGCTCCAAATCCGCTAAAAAAATTCACTGTTGAGACAGATCTTCCCTTAGAGGCTTCTATTCGAACACTGGAGGTGAAAATTCCCTTCCTCTTTTGTCAAATTTGTCACATATCTGCTCCTGTCTAGACCTTTTGAAAATTAAACTTTCGCCTGAAACTTTTTTTTATTCGTGTAAAGATTACATGCTTTCCCGACACTTTCCTTGTGAAACTGATGTAACTGTTCCTGAGCGGATTCAATAGAACTTGAAGTTTTCCACGGTAAAAGGCTAATACATTAGCTACGCAACAGAACACTAAAGCAAGGCCCAATATAACGCTTTCCTTTCAAGCAAAAACCATGAATGTGAGAAATTTACACTCACGTTTTAGCGACCGTTTGTTCCTTTGCTCAGCTGTGGAAATTGAGAAGCTTGCTAGGAGCAAACAGGCTCCGAGAAAATTAACACACCAAGAGGCTTTCATGTCATATCCAGCGACATTTCCTCGCAGTTGATAAAACAGCAATTAGCCATGTTACGTCACAACTGAAAATTGAAAGCATGAGCAGTTCTAATCGCGCACGCTTTCGAATGTACGCTGTGAAAAGCATATCTTTGGGAAATGAGTATACGAAAGCGGCTCTGAAGAGGGGCAAATGTACCCATATCACTTCGGGTTCTCCTCATGCGTGTTGCTTTGCGATAGTCGTTCCGCTTGTGGTATGGTGAGGAAGAGCAAGGCAACGGAGGAAAAATCTGCACTTTCGTCTACCTCTATGATGGCAAGTTGTCTTTGCGCAAGCTTTTGGAAGATTCCGCAGTTTTAGATAATATGCTTATAAGCAAAGATAATCTACAAAGGACAAATGCAAATAAACTGAGGACTTAATGTGTAGGATTGTACCAAATCAAAGATATGAACATTCCCCTCACCTTCCTCCAACAAACCGTCACTTCGTTAAGATTAATGTTAGAGCGTTTCAATACGCAATTAAATCGATGTGTTACTTGTTTAGAACACCACTCTCCGATTGTAAACACTAGTGTCCAAATTTGAACAGCAGAGTCCGATTTGGAACAGTGGTGTTCGATTTTAGACACTAGTGCCCAATTTTACACATCATCATCCACTTTTAGATATATAGAAATGGAAGATTTTAATTAGACGCTTGTGTCTCACTTTAGACACTAGTGTCCAGTTTTAAACACTGTGTTCGATTTTGAATGCAAGCAGAGTTTTCGATTTTGGACAGTGGTGTCTTATTCTGCACACTTGTGCCGATTTTGGATACTAACATATGATTTTAAACACTGGCGTCAGATTTTAGACTGTTGTCTGATTCTAGACACTAGTGTCTGATTTTAGACTCTTCACTGTTTCTTTTGTCGAGTTGTTTGGACAGAAACAAGAAACCATTTCTCTGTAGGGAGATATGAAATATTTTTCATTTTTTCGTTTTGCACTAAAATGAAAATCGATTTAAAAACCAGTATATAAATGATTAGTATATACTAAAACAGTGGATAGCGTTGAAGGCGCGCTCTGATTGGCTAGTCAAACTCCGAATATCCTTTGCCATTTACCTCCGAGCAACTCGGGAAAAAATGGCGTCCCGGTTTGCATCCGTGACAAACGAAGAAATCACTCAAATTAACGACGGTGGTTTATATTATCTCACTGTTTTAGTATATACTAAAACAACTATTCACCTCAGTGTCGGTGGTTAGCGGTGGATATTTACCTCGCCGCTTCGCGGCTTGGTAAATATCCACCACTAACCACCTCCACTTCGGTGAATAGTTGTTAACTAATTAACAAGCTATAAAGATCGACCACTTCAGTTTTTATCTCAAAAATTGTCATTCTGTCATTTTGTTTCAACGCAATAAACATTATTATCTCACACACCACATCATAAGTCCTAATCGTATTTGTTATGGACACTTACTGAGCAAATTATAGAAAATAAACTGATCAAACCAGCCGGAACTTGACGTCACGATAGCTTGGGAAATATACAACTGGTTCTGATACTGTGTCACTGCAATTAGTTTCAACTGGGATGCTATTAAAGAAAGCAAATAAGATAAAGCTATTTTCAGTTAAGTTGGGGTAGTCTTGTTTGAAATGTCCAATGAAAACTCTTGGGTCAACTGCTAAAAAAATATTAGAAATTTACGTATCAAATCAGCTGGAACAAACACCAAGAGAACTTTGAACAAACACTTTTACTCGTTTTGTTCGTTAAAATGCATAGCATTATCCCCTGTTGTCATCTGTGTGTTGTAATACAGTTTATGTGTTAGTAAACTAAAGCATAGCCTCTAACTCTAACCCCACTCTACAAGCAAAGAGATATTAATCGTTAACCTCTGATTAGCATCGAATTTCTTCTCACTGTGTCACTGCTAAATCAAACGTTAAGGCTGAGAGAACAAAGGAAATGATCGTCAAGCTAAACTCTTGATTATTACACAAATTCTCCCCTTAATAAACACGAGGAATGTATAGAGAACAGTCTGGAGATTATGCATACTATGGAAAGGGTGTAAAAAGCTTAGGAAGCAAGCATCTTTGAATAGAATGGCGGCAAACTTGGGGTAACTTTAAACGATCATCATGCTATCATTTGGATGAAAACAGTTGATTACCTCAAACTGCATTTGCAGATAACAAGGCACTCGGAAAGGCAAACAAATCAATTCAATTCATTTGAGATCAATTAAAGCACTCTAGTTAGCAGATGACAAGGCACTTGGAAAGGCAAAAAAATTAATTCAATTCGTTTGAGATCAATTAAAGCACTCCAGTTAGCAGATGACAAGGCACTCGGAAAGGCAAAAAAATTAATTCAATTCGTTTGAGATCAATTAAAGCACTCCAGTTGTGTTGAAATTGTCTTATACAGTAAATAAACACTTAACAGCTTTGGGGCGATCCTCAGTTGAAAGCTAAATGGGTTAGCAGAGTATAAAAAGCCACGAGAAGATTCAACCGCACGGCAGAAATCTGCTTAAGAAGATTGATACGACGAAGAGTGCAGAGGTAAGTTTTGAACGACTAGGCACGATTTTTTTAAAATTTTGATTCATGGTTGGAAAATCAAGTGAACTATTGAATAGCCTACGTGTAGTCGTACCCTCACCCTAAGAGAAACGGAAGGAAGGGAATTTTTTCGACAATGCCAACGAGGTCATTATTACATTTTGATCCAGTTGCTAAAGAAAAAAGATGATTATTATTGAGAACAAAAGACAAAGGGACTTACAAAAACGTTTATCTTTGGGGGGATGGTACGCCTACATGAAGGCTAACTCTTACAATGTTTTTACTCATTTAGTTTTCGTTCCTCCGGAATTTTTAAACAAAAATTGTATCGGGGAAGAAAGGAAAATCGCGGACTTGTTACTATTACAGATCACCTCTTTTTAACTTTCTCTTTATGTAAACTTCTTAAAGTGCGTATTTTAGATGAGTCCTTTTTCTTCGAGTAAAATAACTTGAATTGAACCTTTTAACCCTTGAGGCCGATTCTACGATTGCTGATTGAACACATCCAGTTTTCATTGGAAACTTCAAGCTGAGTTGCGATATGCACGGAAGTTGAATTTACTTATAACTTGTACTCTGCAAGCCGCTAACAAGTTTTTATTCATTTCAGAAAAACCAAGACAGCAAAATGGCTTTTAAGACATTGTTTTCCATCTTGGTTGTGCTGCCTTGACATGCCCGGATAAGATCTCTGGAGGTATTTACCACTGTAGTTAAAGCGTTAAAGCAATTAATGAATTTATGGACTGCCTTGGAAAAAATAGATAAAATGGCCAAAATGCTGGAATCACTACTTTCTTTATAAAAAAGTATTTAGTACAATTTTACTTTTTTTGGTTCCTCCTCAGCTTTTTATAGAAAGGTACGTGGACCTCCCGTGTGTTTTAGTGCGCGTGGTAATAGACCGGGAAGGTTTAAAGTCCCTCAGAGCGGCAGAATGGCAGGGGTGAAGCTGGTCCACTTGTACGGCTTCGTCTCTTGTCACAGGCATCGTTCAACAAATTGGTCACCCTGGGGCTGTGGCTTTGGAGTGCACAGGCAGGTCAACGCTGTCATAACCAATTCACGAAATCACATTCTTTTGCCCCCTAGCCGGCTCCTGGGCACCCCCCGGCGAGGAAAATGGCACAGAATTCCAGGTTACAACTCCATGAGTCCCGTTCTTGGGCTGAAGGTGTTTTACAGGCCCATTCGTGTGATTTATGGCCAGCAGCTACGCCTGTGGTATGGTGAAGATCTGGTGAATTATACCGAGGGAGACAACGGAGGAAGAGCCTGCGCTGACGTCTACATCCTGTACGTCTGAGACGGCAAACTTTCCTCGGAAAGGCTTCTGAAAGATTCCAGTTTTAAAATATTTGCTTAATAGAAGAACCTGTAGTAGAGTTAACTAGAATTAAATAAACTGAGGGTTTTAAAGGGAAAGGTGTTCTGTTTCTTTCAAGTTCCCAACACATGCACAGTTTTGGCCTTTCCTCTGTTCCAAAAACACATCTTGATACATTTGAAGTCCGTTGAAACTTGTTTTCCTCAACGCCTTGAGGTGCCGTGAAAACTTCTTTCAGTAACAGCACAACGTGCACCTTTCTGTAAACCTTTAACGGGCTAATAAAACAAATGAATAAACTCCATGACAGCCTACAAACGCCTCAAATAAATGCTAACGTACACCAAGAAAAGAATTACCCCCTACCACCAAAAAAAAAAAAGAAAAGGAAGTCGTAAAATCAGTATATTTATTTTTTCCAACTTTGACATTCTGAGCGAAGCATCGCAGTTATATAATAATTCTCAATTTAAAAATTGTTACAATTGCTATGGCATTACAATAATTCGTTAAGTTGTTAAGTATATTTATAAAAAGCGCATTTCCAGGAAAATCTTTGGATTATCTCCGTTTTAAAAATACTCAAATTCATGACAAGATAACTCCTTAGAAAGTCAAGATAATCAGTAATTAAAGGAAACATGAGATTAAGGGTTAAATATTCCGCACTTGTTTTTTGAAACGAGACAAGTTTTAGATGGACTTTCAATGCTGGAAATCTTCACTCGCTCGCTTTCGTGTTTTGATTACCACGTTTTGACGAAAGTTTAAGAATTTTGTTCGCCTTTTTTTTCGAAACTTGTGAAGAACATCCGTGTAACATGTATATTTTTCTCCTCTCAATTCAGCATTTCATACTAAGTAAATAAAGAAACAAGTAAACAAAACAACTGAGACTTGATAAAAAAAAAATCCCACGTAAAGTAAAGGAAAGAAGGACAAACACAATGACAGTTAAAGGACAAAGTGAAACATTTCATAGTCCCAAGATCCACTGTTAGGGAGAGTAAATTTCTTCAACAATGACCAAATCAACAAGGTTATCATCAAATCTCGATCCAATTTCTAAGAGTTACAAAATGCTTTCTCTACAACTGACGACGAAGAACCAGGAAAGCTTTTCAGGTTAGGTAAAAACATCTACCGCTAAAATTTACATAAAGACAGAAAGAAGGAAAGAATTGATGAACGACGAAAGGAAAGGAAAAAGATACAAAAGATGATTATTACCGAGAATAAAAGACCTATTGACTAATAAAAACGAAAAATAAAAAATTACAGAGCATACCGTGACGCTTTCATGACAAAGATGCGACATGAAAGAGGCAGAGAACCAACAAATAACAGTACAAGCTACACAAACTCTTAAATACAGGACTGGGAAAAGATTAATTGTCCTTGAGATTGGCAGCGGCTGGTGGAAGAATTTAGCGGCCTATCGAATACCACAGCATTTACATTACTTTACAAAACTGTCACCAATCCTCAAAGCATGAGTTGTTTGGAGTGTCCGGACTGCACCAGAAGTAACATGCAAATCTCTTGTCCAACTTGATCAAAAGTACTTTCGTTTCCTCTTCCAACCTCGTTACTTCTTCGATAAAGCTTTCATAGCTAAGTCTCATTCTCAACGACTGCAAAAGCCAAAGGAACACCTGTATTACGAGGAAATTTTCTCCCAAGGGGAAGGGGCAGACAGCTTTTGTGCCTAGACAACAAACAATAGCAGGCCAAGGCAACTGCCCTGTGGAACACCGAAACGCAGATCGAAGCTATCCCATGTGACCCCTTCAAACAACACACGCTGACTGCGCCCTAACAGATACGACGAGAACCATTCTAAGGCCTTTCCGTACACACCAGAGTCAGTGGTCAAACGTTGCAGCAAAAATTGTATGATCTACGGTGTCAAATGCAGCGCTTAAATCTAGAAGGACAAGTAATGTAACGCGCTGCGAGTTCATATTCAATAGAATATCATTAGCAACTTTAGCCAACGCTGTCTCCGTATTGTGATACTGGCGGTATGCAGATTGTAATAGCGGGTAAAGACTGGACCGGACAAGATGGTTATACGTCTGGTTGAATACTGCACGCTCAATGAGTTACTAACAGGACGCAAGTTCTTAAAGAGAGAATCTAGTCCCAGTTTCTTTAACAATGGTATGACGACGGCCTCTTTCCAACAGTCAGGAAAAATTCCCGATTTCAACGAGCTGTTAATTATCCTTGTGATCACCGGAACTAGTGGCTCACTACAGGACTTCAATAAGTGCGTGGGTATGGGATCCAGGCAGCAGGATGCAGATTTCGACTTCGCAATGAGCATGCGCACATCTTCCTCACCCAATAGCTTGAAGGCTTCAATTCGGATGGGAGGAGTTAGAGAGTCACCGTTTACAATACCATCATCCGCAACGTTATCCTGAACATCCGGGATGTAGCCCTGGTCAAGCCCATCACTTTCGTATTTCATTTGCTAGCTCTGATTTGTCAGCATAGTCTGAGAAAAAGAGCGTGCTCTTTTCCACTAAAAGGTCTTTCACAGCACGAAATAACTTGCCTTGGTTATCAGAATTTTGGCTGACAGTGTCACTGAGGAAAGCAGATTTGGCTTTTTTCAGCAAATACGCGCCTGCGCACTCGCTTTACCTCGCGGACTTCCTCTGAGTACCAGGGCATTTTTCAATGCGCTGTTGTAAGCCCATTGATGACAGTAGGTCCAAAAAACGAGCCACGTAATTGTCAGACTTAACGTTGACATGGATATTGAAATCACCAGCAAGCACAAGAGGCTCAGTTGTCATAACGACGGATTAGCCAATGAGTGAAAAATGTAGTTCAGAAGATATGGTTTTAAGGTAAGTTAAGGAAAAGTCATTATTTACAACCTAGGGAGGGTAGGGTGGAGGATTCATTACCATTTGTTTTGGGAGGGGGGGGGGACACTGTTTCCAAGGGGAACAGAGGGGAATAAGTCGTCACCAACAGAGCATAAAGGGGAAACTATAAAAAAAAACTGCCGAGGATGGGGGAGGGAATCATAAAAATATATATATGGAAGGATCGGGTGAATTTTATCGGTACCCTTTCCCCCCCCCCAAACCCCCTTCCCACTGTCCCTTCGAAAAAGGGAGCTTCGAGCTCTATAGACAGAGCTGACAAAGAGGAAGATTTTAATGAGTTAGAGAGAACTGTAAGAAACTCAGTAAGTTTGCCAATTTTTAAGAAGTGTCTCTTTTCTGCTTTTTATAATTAAGTTTTTTTTAAATTAATCTTTGCAGTGTATAGGTTGTAATCATTTTTATGTTTCGATTTTAGCTCAAATTTTTATATGTTAATTGTATTTTTATATAATAAACATCTAGTATTTAGGACCTCTATGTAAACCACTATTGTGATGGAGCTTCCTAATAAAAGAATGTTATTATTATTAACACAATGTCCTCGGTCGGGGGCCTCGGTCGGGGCACCGTTAACTTAACGGGCACAAAGCCATGTTTTAAAATCGAAATTTAAGGGATGGGAAAGGAGGTTCAGGCACCCAAACCAGTCCCTTTTTGTTTCTTTAGCTGATAGTTTTATTGCATCATTTTCAAAACTTTTGAAATCCCATCTTGAGTGAAAAGAGGCTCCTTAAGTTACCTGGATATTCGAGAAGCGGGCCTCAGGGCTTGAACCCGAATCGCTCGATCCGGAGTCACGTGTATTCACCTTGAGACCACCGCTCCTCCCACCAAACCCCATAACAATTTATACTCCTTCATAGAGAAAAGCACTGTCAGAGTAAAGTGTCTTACTCAAGAACACATCACATGACCCAGCCTGGTCTCGAACCCAGACCTCTCAAGCCAGAGTCCAGCACACGAACCCTTAAACAACTAAGTTTCCCTTTCAAATAACATGATGCTCTGTGATGGGTGGAAATGAGACTGT